CATTATTTAGAAAGAAATGTGTAGCTTTGAAAAAAATTGAGTAGTTTACGGAAATCACGTAAACTACCCTGGATCCACCCTTGCGAACGGTAAGCTTGCAATGATAGAGACCTTTTTTAACACCTTGAACAATTATTCACATGTCTAACGTTACAAGCTCACCGTTCGTCTCGCTTCGCAAAGGCACGGTTACCTTTCAAGATGGCGCCGGGAAATGTGAAGGGGACTATTAGAAGCTATACTTTATAATCCTTCAGTAGAATCTTCGAGCGATTGTATTATTTAACTTAAAGCTTGAGTAAGAAGTAAAATCATATATCTCAATCCTTTTTCTTTTTAGTTTGTCCGTCCAAAAAGAAGCCGATACATCAGGATTTTCAGATCAGATGGCACCGAGGTCTACACTGTTGATGTTTCGATCTCCCATGACGTCATCTACCCAGAAGACTCACTGGGTCGAGCACTTGAGTTCAGGCCGTCATTGAGACTCGTCGAGGAAAGCACTTACTACGTGCTTCTTGATCGAGGTGAACGTTTAAAAAATACAAGTTATATAAGTGATTAATTAGCTAAGGTATGAGGGTATGTCGAAAACTCTACTTCACACGACAGTCAATCTTCACTGGAAAACTCTTATTCAGTTATAGATAACCTAAAACAGCTTCTGGGCTGATCGAAGTCAGGGCACGGCTAACTCACAGATTAATTTGGAATTAGAGGGAAGAATAAGACGGTACTAATATGAAGAGTAAGATGAATGCGTAACAGATGCCCAATGGTATCGTCAATCCCTTTCCGTGCCGTACCGAGCCAAGCCGAGCCGAGCCGAGCCGTGAACTTGATAACTAATTCCTTTTTTGAATAAGACCTAGTCACTCTTGAGTGCAGTCCAATTTTATTCATTAGGCAGCAATCATTTCAATGGACCGTCATACAGGATGTATTTTAATTTACGAGTGATTTCTCATAGGTATAGTACGTGGAACTACGTATTGTGATCTAGAATCTCCACCAATGAGAGATCCTCACTTCTGGAGATTTACAATCAGTAAGTACCGTAATATATACACTAGTAAAATTGTGAAGTATGACTTTTTTAATAACACCAGTTTGCAGTTCACAATTGCTCAGAGTTAGTTTCGATTTTGTGACGTGTTACGGAATATTAATTCACGTGTTTCAGTGAATGTCCCTGGAATTTCAAAGCGTTTGTATTGTTGAAGTTGTGAATTTTTAACCTTAAATCACTTTTTTTAAATTTAAGTGTCTAGTCGTTCTAGTGCTTTCGCACTAAATGGGGACACTTTTCGCTCACACGCACTACCACTTCATTCAATATTCTATGCACACAACGCTCAGCTCACACCGTTACCGTTGGAATCTGTGAATTTTCTGACACTGATACGAGGCTAAACCAGAGTAAATGAGTCTGTAACCAAGGAACATTCAGCGGTATGGAGCAATAAACCATTTAAAGCCCAAGGGCCTTTTTTCTCGTAAAAACCTACGACCGAAAAGCATTGGAACCAGAGAGCCACTGGAGCCCAGGGTACATTATTGTTATCATTTGAAATCTTTTACTTATTACAGATCTTTAGAGAAATTTATGTTTTTGGTATCAGATAAACTCCTGGAGCCTCCGGTCCTCGAAGCCTCGTCCAGCGGTGGTATAGAAGACACACCCATTCCTGTGTTTTTGTCTGCTCGTATGTCTGGTATCAACAGAACAGATGACGTAACTTTATCCATTACCATATATGGTGTGCCTGATTCATTTGTATTCAGCCGAGGCATGCGCAGTAAAGACCAAGTCACACTACTGAAGCAACAATTTGGTGACTTGTTCGTCACCCCAGCGAAAGACTTCTCAGGGAATTTTACTGTGGACATCGTTGCGCAAGCAGCACGAGGACTCGAAAAAACACAAACAAATTATTCATTTACCATTAATGTAAAAGCTAAAGCCGACGTACCAGTCCTCATTACCGGAGACGCATGCGCTAATTTGACCGGACTAATACCGCTGAACATAAAAGCCTTGCTCAATGATAATGACGGCTCAGAGAAACTGACAATAGCGTTGTCAGGGTTACCAAATGAATACCAGCTCAGCCGCCAAGGAAGACTAGTGAATGGGACGCACTACTTAGAAACCGATTCTCTTACCGGATTGGTCGCTCGGTACGACGGAGTCTTTGAGCCTTTTGTCTTGAAGGTTGTTGCAACATCTGTGGAAAAATCGAATGGAGACCGCGCGTCAGTCATGACAATCATCAACGTCACCAGTTGTATTCTACAATGTAAGTAAGACTAGTTTCAATTGAATCAAAGCATTTTACTGTGAATGAGTCGTGCCGTGAGCGTGATGGTTATGACTGAGATCCTACACTCTGTTATTGGTTGAGTACAAGTTGTGGCCTATATTAGTGAGTGAGCATAACTTACGTCATCATCATCATCATCATCATCACCATCATCACCATCATCATCATCATTACCATCATCATACTACTATTCTTACTACTGTACTTTGCGGCGGTGATTATCGATAACTAGTTTCTTATTATCGCCATACGGCCATGCAATGTAAAATAATACTCAAATTGGACTCGAAAACGTTTGATTACCTAAACTTATCATCATCATCATCGTTATTATCATCGTCGTCATCATCATCATTATCATCGTCATCATCATTGTTATCATCATTGTTGTGCACCACCAACAACAATCTTTTCCCATCATTATAAACAAAGATGGTTGAAAATTCACACCATCATCAAAAACAAGAATTGGGGCGCCAGCTCACGTCA